GATGAAGATGAAGATGAAGATGAAGATGAAGATGAAGATGAAGATGACATTAGATGTATACATTTTTTGTACATTTGTACACAAAATTTAGATTTGTCCACATTTGCGCCTTTGGATAGCGATGTACAAATGATTTGTCTTGCGATCATTTGGCTGCCAAAGATCCAAATGATTTGGCACACATTTGCGCACAGCAGTAAAGTGACAAATATTGTCCACATTCATTCACACGATTTAACCATTTGGTCATAAATACTTAAACAGCTGATCCGGTGTCAACCATACTTTTGCATTTATGATTTCGTGAGATTTGAAGTAAAATAAACAAAAATAATATATACGAACAGGTACTCAGAATTTTGAATACACCCTCAAAATCTGGGCTAGAAAAAGTGCAGAACATATTGGTCAAAGTCGAATGTCTCAGCCAAACCGTAATTGATTTTCAAAAGTTATAGCTAATTAAAAACTAAAGTGCTTACGGCTTCTTTCTTATATATGTATGTACATTAAAGTGGCCCTTATTTTTGAAAATCGGAAATTTGCGGGTGCTACCCCTTGAAATGGTTACCTTTATTGAAAAAGTAATTCCCTTAAAATTTTGGCTCAATTAATCAAGTCTAACCCGTGCCACAAACGGGTCGAAGTTGAGATAACGACAGTATCACTTTGCGTCAGTGCTGCCTTTGGCTAGCCACCTTATTAGCGGCCTTTGCACGGTTAGACTGCGTTTATACACGAAAACTTTTGTCGCCTCGATTTTTCACATTCCCTTTTGGTGTTGCTCGTTTCATTTACACACGGCGATTTGTGTGTATGCAATTGTTGTTGTCAGCTGTGAACAGCGGTTCAATTTACACAGACGAACGAGAGCACAAAGCGTGTTGCCCGAGCACGAGCAACTCGATGCCCCTCTCCTTTCCTCGTCGCGCTCCCTCCTACAAACGTCGAGTTGCGGCAACAAAAATCGCCGTGTGTAAAGAGCACTTACCATTGTATAAAACATATCATGATGCAAAACAAAATTATTTCTGTTCACCCCATCATTCATAAATAAGTGGACAACTAATTTTTAAGCAAAAAACAAAACCGACTTCAATTCTCATATACAAATTTAAGATTA